ATGTTTTGTCAATTTATTTTAAAATAACCACCTGAATACACATACAATGTGGAAAAGAGTTCAAAACTATTAAAATGGTATTACAAAAACATTGAAAACTGAAAATTGGACATCGACAAATGAATTAATTGTTGTTTGGTATGTGATTTGCGCTAAACAATGACATAAAAATATCTGATGCTATTATCATAAACATTTTTTAAATGCAACAAATATCAGACAGTAATTAAATGGTAATTAACAAACTGACAAGAGTGATAGATTTGAAACATGTACGCTGTACAATAAACGTATATTGATTTAGTAATGGCTTTTTAACATTATCAATAAAATCGTGAATCTATCATTGGTAGACTACTATTAAAAACTTGGAAACACTGGACGGACGCTTAGTCCCAGGTATGGGACTCATCAGCGACGCACGTCCACGACTCCCACTATTCGTAGGAATCGACAGCCGGATATTAGTTCTCGCGCGGGAACTACTAACGCCTGAACCACTGAGCTGGCATCCAACGCTATTAACGTCTAACTCCTGTCTAACACCCGTAGTCTTCGGTAGTCACTGCCTACACCCGATAAGGCTGAACTCCGCTGGTCACGTAATCACACCTAGAACCACGCAAATTTCTTCATGAAGCTAGTCGGTTCTGACCACACTTTACTATTTTTTATTATGGACGTATGGAGATTGTTGTTGGTTATTAAAATCATGAATCCTACATTTCTTTTTATATATAACTGTTTCTTTCAAAATACAACATCAGTTTTCGTAAATCAGTGAGCGTGTCTTAAACTCTGTAAATAAATTAATTTATGTTTCGCTTTGTTGCGTTTCAATGTTGTATTTCTTGAGAGACATATTTTGACGTAAATTTACTAGAAGAAATCCTAAACTTTATACAGTTACCTCTTCAGTACTGAGTAATTCGGTATGAGTAATATCTTTTCATCTTTTCTGTACTTTTTTAAATGACGATTTACATTTAGAACGTTTTTTTAAGATAACTATCATATTGTTTTTATGAATGAAACAATTCTGATAAGAGAACCCAGTAGAAGAACGCTTACCACTAAATAATGAACACTAATTTTTAGTAAACGTTTACTCATTTTCTAGTTTTCAAAAAACATATATTTATAAGTAGATCAAGAGTAAACTTTGTTTTGTACAATAATAATATCAATTAAGACATCAGCTGTACCACATCAGATTTACATTAAACCACTTACTTATCACGAACCAATCAAAACTAGACATCAAAAACAGGTAAAGGCAAACCGACACTACAATCTCTTTATAATAGACTGACGTATACAATAATTATCCGCCCGATGTTTTGTACCGACCCTTTGATACACATTAGAAAATAAATCAAAGAAGCTATTGAATAAAATACAATTCTTTTATTTGCGCCTTCGATAAAAATATTGAAGTGATTCGCTCCATACAATGAACAATAAAAGGTGAAATTGTTTAAATAACAAACCATATGACACTTTACCAAGCAATTTAAAAAAACAAAAACAAACTGGAATGCTTAATTGTAACAAGTTGGAATTCTATTCATATATATATATATATATATATACTACTTATTACTGAAAATGGAATCACAATAAAAAAGAAAACAAAGAGGACTATACCTGATGAATTATATCATACACATAGCTAAAGTATTTCACTTTAACAAATTTAACAGATAATAATGATACCAATTGAGAAAGAAACACATCACTTATATTAATTGAACATTGAATACGACTGTTTATTTTCAACCTGATATAAAATTATTAAAATTAAATAAAAATCACAGAATTAACGTTTTTATACAGTTAGTTAGGCAACGGTTTGTTCAATGCAAAGAAAATTATAACAATAAAAGAAGAAAAAACAAAAGAGACGAAGAAATGGTAATTTTGCAAAATACACAGAGTTTATTGTATTGTTCACGACGAATTCAATGTTCAATGAATAATTGGAAACACATTTTTAACAATGTATTTTTATGGCTTTTATTTCAATAGGAATTAAATGATTTCATTAGACTTTTCTATTTAATTTCTCCATTGGATAATTATTTCCAATGGTTGAATGAGTAGTTACTGAAGTACATGAAGTACTTTTTGCTGGAAGATGAGTATTATGATTGATAGTTTTACAACAGAATATTTGTAAAAATATTGTACGAAAATAGGACATTAATGAGATAAACACAAAGAAATTACATATGGAATCGATAGTGATCAATGTATTACCAATGGTTTCAAGTAGACGACTTAAATGATTATTTCCGAGTAGATTAAGTGTTTGACAAATAGAAATCATGAAATTCATACATTCTAGTAAGCCGAACGCTAAAGCAACCATCAAGACAACACGTGTAGCTTTTATTTGACCTTTTTGTCGTTTACGTACAGCATCATGTTGTGAAGTTCCTTGTGCTGTTGGTATATCATCTAATGATTTAGACTGAGATATTTGTAATAATGAAGATTCTTTTCGCCATGGACGTAGTCTAATAATGATCATAATTGTGAATAATATGATAAGAATCCATGTGATCACTGCACGATATGGTAATACAATAAAGCTCATATAGAATGAGAATGATTTATGTGAAAATACATATTCTTGTGACCACATACCATACTGATGATGAATTTGATCATAGCATAATAATGAAATATAATCTGTATGTTTTAAACCAGATATTATAATTGATAGTACAAGGAGTAAAATGAATATTTGAATAAATTTTCGTGGATGCCTCAAAACACGTTGCCATGCACGTGAACCAAGTGGCCAGATAACCACTTCAGCTCGAGCGGCTGTGATTAGACAAACACACCAGTTTCGACAGAATAGACCTACTTCAGCAATAAACATTAAAAGATTTTGTACAACTGGTAGTATCAATAAAGTCATATCAGGCGGTACATGATTTGATCCATCAGTTGGAATTTGATGAACAAACTGTGGTGAAAGCACTTGTGTTAGCTTAAATATAAATGCTCCCAAATTAAAAATCACTTCACATCCACACAATAATATCAAACTAATCATAAATGAACTACGTGAACGTTTTGGATCGCGTGATTTTGTTGATTGTACAGTTGTACTCTTCGAAATATTGGAACTTTCATTTTCTAATAGAATTTTACCATGTTGTTGTAATTTACAACTTCGTGAACGAACAATTACTGAATCACCACATAAAAATACAAATAATGAAATAAAATTTAATATGAAACCGATTAGAGAAAAACAAATAAATGGTATTTGATGTTTAGTTTGTGGTAAAACCATTGGTTTTCCAAACATATTAGTATCATTCACATCACTGCATAATCCAAGATATTTAACATAATAATAAAATGTAAATGAGAATTGTAATGATGTGGTATTATTCATTTTGATACACAATGAATAATTATGTAAAATTGGACAAGGAGAATTTCTTTAGCGATATATATATATATATATATATATATATATATATATATTCAATTTATCGTTAGAATTCGTTCTTGTCTTATTGGTTGTTAATTTTAAATGTGTTAGTTATTATAGACATAAGCCAATAGAAAAATGACTTGATGTTGGTTACAGTTCACTTAAATAAGTTTTATTATTCATATAAATCGAATAAATATTGGGTTTTTTTTCCCTTTTTCAGTGCTGATATATAAGAATTATTTGCAGTTTCGGGTTATAGATAGGTGCATGCAAGACTGCAGGGCCTAAGTTCGACTCCTGCAAGTCGTGGCTAGCGTCGTGAATGTACACTACTGATATGTCCCATACCATGACACAACCGCTGCTATCCAGTGCTTGTAGGTTTATAATGGTGATTTAACATTGACTGACAGATGATTTCAGAATAAGTATTATGTCTTTATACTCTTCTATACATTATGCTAGATGATTTAATTTTACTGCTATAGGAAAACAAGCAGCGAAATCCTTTTTGATAAGTCTTAGAAAATTAAATATGTTGATCTTGAAGATTGAGTTTATGGTAATTATACAGTTACTGATGATTTTCATCTGACCATACGTGCGTAGATTGATTTACAAAGCTTCATATTTTCATGTACAGACTAGTAGTGGGCTTGTGGATCATCAAGCTACTTTGATAGATTGGTGCTTTATTTTAAGAAATCGATGCCTTTACACTGTCATAATTATATAGTTGACGAACTTGCAACCAAAAATACTTTGGTAAAACGAATTTATTACATAATTTCTAGCTGACACAAACGTTGATACAATTAGTGTTTTAAAAATGTCTTTTCCTTAACCTACTATCAACTGTTACCTCCCAACGGAGCATAGACCGCCAACCTGCATTCTCCAACCTACTCTGTCCTATAGGCCTTGTCTTCTTCGATTTTGTAATAACAGTATTTCAAATTCATTATTTTTTTACAAATCATTTTGAATAAACAATGAATCTTTCACATATTTAACTTTAGGCGTTTGATCAAGTTCCATCTATTGCTCAATCCAAACATTCTTTTAAACTTAACATGTGTTGGGGATGTTAGATCCCCAGAACTCGTTTGATAAATGCCTTATTTTAGTTTTCACGTTTACCAGCATGGGCTGATCAGTTGACCTTGAGATTTCAATTCCCAACAGGAACATCCACGGCTGTAATTGGCTGCTGTGTATTTTAGTATGCTATTTTCGCAACTATCCCAAGGACGTTTCTATGATGTATAAATAAATGAGAGTTGTGTGCATGATTGTATTGTGATTGCTGGGTGTTGATAGAATATACTTCCTACGCTTACAAAGCCTTCTTACTTTAGTTTGGGATTCAAGGTAGCCTATCTGGACGCTGGTAATTGTCTCGTTTGCGTTTATCGACAAAGGTGAACTCGTAATAGCCTCAAGCATACTTAGTGACGAATATAATACATTAAAATAAAGTTTTATATTGTTATGAGTATAGTATGACATAAAATAAGCAAAAGAAAATTCTTAATCTGAAAACCTAAACAAAACCGATCATTTCTTAAAGTCGATTCCGATTGTTTGACTCATACTGTCGAACACAAAATAAATAGATCGTAATCTTTAATCCTACTACAAAGGTAAGATAAACCTAAATGATGCAATAGAAGAGAATATTTACAAATCGATGTGAAAATATATGAGAATATGCTAACCATGTGATATTTTATCCCATAAATGTGTTCCATTAGCATTCACAACTAACTAGTCAAGACGTTGTTTACTCAGTACTGATAGATCAATAATAATTTGGTGTTAACGCATCAGTCTGTATTTGAACCACTCAGGCAGCGTTGATTAAGTCCGAATCGCAGACACATGTTGTTGGCCAGTGTCAAATAATACGAAACTTGGCTGGATAGTTGTTTCCTTACGTCTATTTAAAACTGTGTGACAGCGTTAAAACGAACACAAAATGTTGTTTCAACAGACGCTAGGAACGAGTTGATCAAAAATTGGAATATCAGCGAGGATTAATATTGTCGGTATGTCATATCAAAAGTATTTGTCAATCGTAATTATTGATTGTTTACTTTAGAAAGCTTTTTATGTAAATCACTTATGTAAATCACATTAACACCTTTTGAAATCATTAATCAATCATCATTGTTAGACCACCATTAGAAACCTGGAAGCACTGGACGGCCGTTTCGTCCTAGTATGGGACTCCTCAGCAGTGCGCATCCACGACTCCTGCTCCTCGCAGGATTCGAACCCGGGACCTTTGGCATTGTAGGCGAACGCCTTACCATCGGACCACTGGGCCGGCATCCAACGGTGTTAATGTCTAACTCTGATTGATCTAGGGATGCCGGCCCAGTGGTCCGATGGTAAGGCGTTCGCCTACAATGCCAAAGGTCCCGGGTTCGAATCCTGCGAGGAGCAGGAGTCGTGGATGCGCACTGCTGAGGAGTCCCATACTAGGACGAAACGGCCGTCCAGTGCTTCCAGGTTTCTAATGGTGGTGTAACAATGATGATTGATTAATGATTTCAAATGTGTAAATCACTTACACTTTATTTCTGTCTGTACACAATAACAGATAATTATTGTTGTTTTCATTAAAAACTCATTGGTTTTTTTTATTAGTTCTCAAAATACTAAATTGAATAAAATATATATTTTTTTCTACAAAAACATAGTTTAACTCAGTGTATATCATTTTCTAAGCATTGTTATATGATTCAACTATCACGAGAAATTTAAGGACATCACTATCAGGTGTAACACAACAAAAAACTATTTCAGTTTGACAAATACGTATGGTAGAATATGTACAAATGACGACTTAAGTTATAAGAGTTTTAACCCCTCTCAGAAGTAATATATTTTATTAATTTAACAAACTTTTGTGGTTACTTTTCAGTGTTCTCTTGAACTGTGATCATCTGTAGGCTGTTATCGCGACTATTGATGATGACAATGAGATGATCGACAATTCTGTTACTAAATTATGTCATAATTATTCTGATCGCACTGAACATAAATGAATGACGTGATCTTTGATCTGAACTTTTATTTGATGACAAACAATATGATTCCAGTGCTCTGTCAAGGCGATTGACACCTATACGATTACGATTATATGTAACATTTATACTGTTTCACTTTTTAATCGAACAGTTTGGTCAAATTATTGATGTATACAAATAAACTATGTAGCTATGAAATGGAATGTATAGTTGTGTGATATTTGAATGTAACTGGCTTATCATGTATGTGTACAGTAGTTATTGATCATTGAAACTGTACTTGTTGAAGACAAACCAGTTTGTAGATTATGATTTTTGATGAATATTTAATTTAAATAAGGTTTACTGTTATGAATATGACGTTTGAAAAATTTCAAAAAACTTATTACGTAGTGATGGGATAAAAGTAGTATAGTATGGTATAAGTAGAATTATATTTGACATAAACAGTTAATATTGTAACAAATTAACTTAGTAGTTTGATTTTTTTTTCAATGAAAGTCAATTTAAATGAGGTTATCTTCACAAACTCATATCACTAGGAGATTTGATGTATAAATTCATTTTGAAACTGATTATTAGTGTGTGATTAGTCAATGTACACAGATAACTAAGTATGCTAAGGAACAGTCTCATATACAGATAACTGAACTCTTGTAAATTCACAGTTGATTAATTTCTTGAATTTGTGAAATTGTCAGTTAAAACAATCTCGATTGGGTCACTTCGATATACCTGATTTCAAACACGCTGTATAAAATAGATATGTTTCATGACTAGAGATGAAACGCAGGCGTCTGGTACAGATATATTCAACTGACAACCTCTTCTTGTATATGCGTTGATTAAATTTTGAGCCTTTAGTTTTCTTTGGATTGTAGTGTGCCGATTTACTGCATGTTCTTAAGCTCGATAATTAGCTCGTCTAGACAAACGTTACTAAATAGCGTCTGACGGTTTATAAATCAGAAGGTGAACTCGTAGTGTTGAATGCGTTTATTTTGGACAAACCACAAAGCGAAACGGAGAAGCAGTGAATAGAACGAAAGAAGCGACGTGAATTGGAGAAGGCTGTTGAGCCAACTCCAAGAGATAGAGCATGACTAAGAATATATAGTCAGACAAATATAAGACAGACATATGACACATGAATAAAAGCGACGAAGGTTGACAAGGTCAAAAGACAAATGGGACAAGTCATGTGAGCTCATGGGGATATTAAGAGATTAACATTAAAGCGAAAAGGATGAATAAGCGTATGTGCGTAAGCAATGTTTGGTCGTACCAGATCATAGAAACCAGTCAATAATAAAAACGAATGGTACACGTAAGTTGTTACTATGCCAATGACGTGGTTAAATAAATTAATCGAAAGGGCTTAACCAAATTAACTGTTAGCGAACTGGAATAAAAGTGGAGGCACTACAGGATTACTATTTGCATTCATCATCAAAAAATCTAGCTGAGCATATTTAAATTAATAACAGTATGTATCAACTTATATATACTCGATCAGTAAGGAAGTACATTTCGTTTCACTACAACTCAGATACGTTTTATGCATTTGTTGCACGAGTAAATTATTAGTATTCCTACTTTGGTTAGCTCACCATTTTTAGTACTAAAGACATTTTCAATTAAACTTGATTTTAAGACAAATATTTTTAGGATTTTTCATTATAGAGTTATGAAGATGGTTTCAAGACCGAACGTATTCTGCTCAATTTGTGCAAGTAGCAGGAGTCGTAGATGCGCACTACTGATGAGTCCCATACTAGAAAAAAACGGCCGTCCAGTGATGGTCTAAAAATGATT